TGGACTTCAGCCCAGCGTTCAACACCATCCACAACCTCTCAGGACTTTAAGTGGGAGTCCAACATAGACACCATCATCAAGAAGGCACAACAGAGGATGTACTTCCTTACACAGCCATTATTCAGTCTGTGAATCACTGTCTGGTTTGAATCTTTCACCAAACAGGACAGGAACAGACTATAACGGACAGTCAGGACTGCAGAGAGAATCATTGGTGCCAACCTGCCTTCCATTCAGGACCTATACTTGTCCAGAGTCAGGAAACAGGCAGGAAACATCCATCTAACACCCTGGACAGAAGCTGTTCCAACTTCTCCCCTCTGGTGGGCGCTACAGAGCACTGTAAGCCAAAACAAATAGACACAGGAACAGTTTTTACCCACAGGCCATCACTCTGATGAATATTTAACTCCAGACACACTGTGTCAGGAACAATCCCTGATCAATAATCCCCTGGACTCTTACATCCACTGTTCCTGTAAACTATGTATCATTTGTTTTTTACTTTTACTGTTTCTTTTTGAAACTTTTAATGTACTTATTGTAAGTCACTTCGGACAAAAGTCTCAAATGAGTGCAATCTGATTGAATCTCTCTTTGTTTTAAGGGATTAAAAGCCAAAAAGGTTCGCCAATCTTATCACCAACCTTATCATTAAAGATCCATCTGCCCTTCCATCTAAGCCACAGTAGTCCTACATTCAGCAGTAATTTCTTTAAACGTATTACTTGCATTCATTTAGGTATAAAAACAAAAAACAAGTTAATAAAAATCTATTTTACTTAAAAAGAGCTGTATATCCAATACCTTTCATTCAATGTTGGAAATACCTGCTGGGATCTTATACCTCACTGGTAGAGAAGGCAGGTAGAGAGAGAACTTCACAGAGGGCATAGACAAAGAAGAGGTTTCAACATTTTAAGGGGAAAAAAATCAAAGCAGACAAAAGCAGTGTGAATGTGTGTGAGAAAAGTCTGAATAATACATCAGAAACCTCTGAATTATTCACAGGATGGAGGGTGTTAGTGCAGGCGGGAGAGGGTTAAGAGAAACAAGGCAAAGAGAAAGTACAGGAAATTGACAGAAAGCAGAAAAAGCACGGAAGAAAACAGGAATGACTTTTATGCCGGGTAGAAAACAGTGAGTGATGAATGTTTTCATCCTCTTCGGAGCGCCATCTGAAAGGCCCGGTCTGCTCAGGGTTTCCCTTCTGTCCTTCCTCTCCACCCTGTAACCATTCAGCGGTTTCTCCCCTGGGTGTGGGGCTACCAGGAGGGGTCTGCTTTCACCTCAAATCCCTCATACACGCACACACACAACTGTTCAAGAAAAATAAGGGTAGGAAAGAGAAAGTGAGCAATAGCGAGAGATTGTGTGTTTTTAGGGTGCAGCGGTATTCAAATCCTTTCTGCTGTGACAAGGTCTGCCAGAGTTCATGCTCTGAGTGCCACAGCCAAAGACAACACACACACACACACTAAAAATGGAAGTCAGAGATCAGTCATCTGATGGGCAGGTGGGGGAGAGTGAAAGATATCTGATGTACTGTGGACAGGGAATAGGGACCGGAAAAGATCTTTACTGTGGTTACTCTAAATCGTGCTTGATTCAAAAGGACTCATGCAATGTTTAGTTAAGCTCTCAAGGATGATATACAGCACAGGCGCAGACACATTTATGTGCACGGTGACAACAGTGAGGCATGTCTGTGGAGGTTATCTCAGTCTGTCGTGCTGCTGGGTCCCTGTGTGCTAATCACAGCATGTGCTTGTCTCACCTCTACGACTTTAGTTAGTTAGCCTGAGACATTTATTGGCCAGCTGTCGTGTCCGTATGCCGTACATGATCAGACGCACAGACACTGACAGACACACATGCCTGCTGACCAGACCTCAAAGGTCTACCGCCTTGCTTTTAGCTCCTGCCTTTAATCACTTCAGCAGATCACTATAACAGAACATATTGTTCACACACTCGAGCACACACACTCTCTCTCTCTCTCTCTCTCTCTCTCTCTCTCTCTCTCTCTCTCTCTCTCTCTCTCTCTCCCCTGACGTGTATGAAATTTCCAGGAGGGATTTTTAACTTCGTCCATCCCCGCTTTTAGTACCCCTCCCCACCTTTCCTCCCCTCCCTCCCTCCCTCCCGTCCATATGTCTGGGCACCAGAGCTCAAAGTGTGCACGAGCCCCAAACCGCACACTCATATGCACGTCCTGGGAAAATGTACACGTGCCTGCCTCACATTTGGGTCATGCGAGTCAGACATGTGAAGCCCCGCTGGTGCTGCAGCAGAGAGAATACAGGAGGACTCGCAGCCCGGTCATCAACACACACACACACACACACACACACACACACACACACACACACACACACACACACTTATGAGGGCAGACACTGAGGGGAAACTTCCAAGACACAAAGAGAACTGATGTGTTTGTGGACAGAATCCACACCAGAGTTATTATAGTTTGTATTTTTTATTAGTTTTTAGTTTTATTTATTTTTCAGTTCAGTTTAGTTTCAGTTAATTTCCAGAGTGGGTTTGCTCATTTCAGTGTATTTATTTTTTTTGGTTTGTTTGTTTGAAATTTTTGTTTAGTTTTTATTATTTTTGATGTTAGTTGTAGTCTTTTAAAATTATAATATTTATGAGGGGCAAGATTTAAAATAAACATATGCACCAGTGGCTCTTCTTGCTGTCAAATTTGACCAAATTGGTAAGGACTAAAACTAAAGATACTTCCTGTATATTGTTTCAGTTTCACACCTGTTTTTAGCTTTTAGTTTAGTTTTAGTTAACTGGGATAACCTTTCACATTTCACATTTCCTGTCTTCCTATTTAATTAAGAGAGCAGGTCATTTAACTGTTAGCTGGACATTTTTGTTTTCACCACAACTGAACCACAAATGTTTGTCATTATACTTCTGCCTGTGTAATCTCTTCAAAACAGTTAGAGGTCAGAGAGGTCAACTTTTGTACCAACATCCCCATAAGTAAGCTAAGGATATGGGCAATTACCAAAAAGCCCACTTTCAGACAAGCTATTCATTATAATTATGGATCTTGCCATACATCAAAGTGGTCATAGAAAGAAACACAGAAATGGCAACAAGTAATCCATGTGGGGAGAGAGAGAACATCAGAAATGACAACCTGAAATGAAAACTTCTACAAAAATATATTGTTCAGGGAAATACAATGACACAGGGCGATGAAAAAACAGAAGTCAAATAGCATTGGATCTCTAATGCACATCTCTCACTATATTTCTAAACTTACACTAAAGTAAGGCAACACAATTGATCTAATTTACCCATTTATTGCAGATGTGTGTGTGATCAGAGACCACTGGGTCACTTAATAATTGAGTAATTCAATATGTGCATGATCAAACACCTGATTTGTTCAGTCAACAATAATTAATATTAAAACCAGAGTCAATGCTCGGTCAAGAAGTCGCACACACACACACACACACACGCACCAACATCTATGCTCCTTGCTGCCGTGAGGGGGAGGAGAGTGGGTGAGAGACTGAGAGAGAAACAGAGGGGCCTGTGTTTACACTGGCAGGGTGAGCAGCTTGTGAGCCCCATGGAAATGGCCAGCTCACATCTAATGGAGAGAGAGCTCCACCGTGACTGACAGGGCCTGCGTGTCTTTGAGGTCCTTCACAATCAGCATAGTCCGTTTCCCAGCGTGCTTCACTCCCCCAGGGCGGCCGCACCGAACGAAACAAATAAGAGAGATTAAAGGGAAAATGGTTGCCATACCACAAACATGGCAGGAGAGCGCTTGCCGAGGGTGAAGGGGTGTGTGCGGCACAGGAAAGCCGGACACTTAATGAGTCGTCCGCTGACTTGCTGTACGCTGTAATTCCAGCACTAATGGAGGGGTTGGAATGCCAAGGACGTCCCAAAAGTCTAATTTCTGAGACTGTCTTCGTTGACAATGTACAGTATTTCATCCCCAGAGAGGAGAACGAATCTACAGATAATTGGTGTACATTTCCTTCCATGTTGTGCTGATATGTTTCCACCATGTGTTCCAAGCCATTTTCTCCATCTAATTGCATTCAAGAGGAAAGTAACAACGAGCACAGGGCCCCAGTGGTCTCAGAGTGGACCACAAATACTGAACTGATCTTCTTTTAAGATGTGCGTAAATTTTCAAAAGGGGGGGATTTCATGATGAAGCCTAGCATTACCGTCCATTTCACAATACCATCTGTCTTCTGGAAAGAGAACAGATTTTTTTTTTTTGTATTGGCATTTGGATCTCCATCAACAGGCCCAGACTCTATTGATTCACATAATTACATTAGATGGCTTTAGTCCTTTTCACAGCAGCTTTATGGTTATAGATGGGCTCATGAAGCTGGGACATGTCAAAGCCCAGACGTCCAGCTGGAGAGAAAAAAGGTTCAGGAAGGGCAGAGGAGAAATTAACGAGTAAATGGATTGATGGACCAACAGGCTAATACAAGGCCTGTCCCATCCATCACTGTCAAAGAAGGGACAAGGACACACACACACACACACACACACACACACACACAGAGAGAGAGAGAGAGAGAGAGAGAGAGAGAGCTAATAGATAGCATGTAATTACGTTATCCAGTTTATCCAGTTGTTGTCTGTTCGCCCCACACTTACTCCCCCACCTGTTAGTCCTCACAAATCATCTTTATTGAGCTCAACAGAAAGCTTAGAGATGATTTCCACCCCCGACACTCACATTGTGCACCAAACCCAACTGCCAGTTCCAGCCGGACCCCGGTTCTTAACAGCACCAAAAACAACAGCTTCTCATTCTGTGTGAATGCTCATTTGTACATTTACGATGAAGATCCTTAGAGAGATGTACAAAGTTTTAATTCATCACAAAAAGCCCATGATCGCCATCTAGTGGAGGAAAAAGCTGTGACTCCCAGCAAATATGAAAACATGCACCAACATTCAATAAATGGCACTGACAGCAAGCACTATCCGGCTATTTTGTACCAAATGTGTTGTTTTTATTAAAGTTGGATCCAGTAAATCATAGAAAAGAACAAAACTTAGTTTAAGAACATTTCTGAATTTCTGGTCTTTTAATTTACAATTATGAACCAAGACTTTTTTTTCTAAACAGTGTGGCAGCAAAAGGAATTCATCAACATACAGTGTTATTCATTTTCAATATATGAGGTATAGAAACACTACCGTCGCACAATACTATACATCTGTTTACTTCTAGTAAAATAGAGTATATCTAGAATTCTCATCAAGTTTAGGTGATATTAAGGTTACAGTTCTTAGCGTAGCCATTAATAAAATCACCAACTACAGTAAGGTTTAAAATATTACGGGGGTGATTTTGGCAATAAATGTGTTGCAGTTGTGGTTCTGAAAGTGCCAACAGCAACACTGAGCTTACAGAAAACCACCAGCAGAGGGCACCACTGACATATAGTATAATGCAGCTGTGCCATGAGTAAACACTTCATAAGGTGTTTGCTTTCTTCATAACAGGGTACAAATTTCGTACATATATAAGAAGATGTTCTTCAGCCTGCATGTAATAAGTGTTATGAGAACTGGTGTAACTGAAACTAAGAGCATCTGGTCATTCAGAGGACTGAGACACTGCAGTGGCCCGGTTGTTTACGGGTCCTGAAGCCTTCTGAGAACTTCTTAATCCCGTATCAAATACCAGGCTTCACTGCTCTCCTATAGCGTCATATTATTTCAGTCCTGTTATGGAAGTTAGCGGGGTGGAGACCATAGTAGTCTCAGTCCACTGTGACACCTTCAGGCAGCTCTACCACCACAGGTGCACAGTCTTCCAAGTCTGCATCAAAGTCCCAGCGAAACTTCTTGGTCAGGTGAGCTTTGAACTTCTCTGCTCTCTTACGCAGTGTGCCATCCATACCAGGCCCATTGGCAAACTGGAAAAAGTCCTGTGAGAGAAGAAGTCACAACAATGTAATGATTTGTAAAATAATAAAAAAAATAATAATAATAAAAAAAAACCCAAAACACTACTAATTTAGGCGATGTTATTGTTGATTTGTGGTCATGGTCCAGGTATGTCCGCTCAGACCACTTGGCAACACCATCAGGATCATGAATGTATGTCCTCATCTACCAAGCCAATAATAGTGACATTAAGGGAGCTATTCGTGACACTGACATCACATGGGAAATGCTCAATCTTTATGTGTGTGTGTGTGTGTTCCAGGTGTGAAAAAGAGAGCAAGCAAAGTATCTCTAGATAAATTAAGTTTTTTGAAAAAAAAAAGGAAGTACTTTTCCACAGCAACTGAATTCCTAACAAGTTAAGGCAGCTCTCCAGGTTTCTCAAATCCTGGTGGAGATAAGACTACTTTCCTAGGTAAAGAAACCAAAAAGTAGGACCACATTTGTGTCAGTGTGAGAAATGCAAGACAAGACTATTCAAGTGTCTATTCTTGAGACACTTGATAAATAAGAGCCGTGATCTTTGAAAAACCTGGGACTTACCTCTTCTAATATGTCACTAATTTCATAGGTGACGTACACCCACAGTTGTGATTGAACCAATTATAAGTCTAAAAAACAAGATCATACTATTTACATGTTGAGATGTGAAAAACTTATAAATTACAGTACTTATAGTATAGTTATTTAGACCAAAATGTGTTACTGACAGACCTTTTACAGTTGTTTCTTTCATCTGTATGTCCTTTGAGATCATGTCCATACCAGCATACACAGAAACATATCATAAGTTGTGTATCTACCTGCAGCGTGGAGGTGAGGAAGTTATCCTGAGACACGATGTCAACAAAGAAGTCAGGTGGGATTTCTCCGAGCTGGTGGTAAAGCACGGCAATGAGCCCCAGGTAGAGCTCCTTGCGTTTTCGCATTGCCTCCTCTGATCGACACAGCAGCGCTAGGAGGCTCTTCCAGTGCTCGAAGCCCTCATACACGTTTCCAACCAGGAAACACACGAAGGCAAACTGCAGCTCACCTGAGAGGGGAGAAACAGATTTAGGACGTTTTTTGTTTTTTTTTAAATAAACAAAATGTAATTGTGTGCTATTTTGATGATCTAACAGGAGTGTATCTGACACGTACCTAGCAGATTAAGAGGTTGCAGCTCATGGTTCTTCTCCAGCACAGTCTCCAGGGCGTAGCTCAGGTCCAGGCTGCACTGGGTGATCTCGGCCGGTGTAGCCCCAGGAGGGTAGGTCTTCTGGGGGATGGCAGAGAAGCGCAACTCCGTCCCCTCCCTCGGTTTCATCCTGGGCAGCCTGTCCAGTCCCTCTTTCATGCTCTGGCAGGCGGTGTCATTCCTCGGCTGCTCTGCCCTGTCTTTGGTGTGCCTGAGCTGAACCTCTGGGATGACGTCACTGAAGGCACATATTCGACCGGAAAGAGGCTGCAAGCTATTGGCCACCTCCTCGCTCAGACGGTCAGTGAGGGACACCCACTTCCTCATCACCTCGTACGGATAGGGCCCCAGAAAAGGATCCAGGTCTCGCAACGTCGCCCTGATCCGGCTCACCTCCTCTTCATTCTGGGAGGCAGAGAAGTCCAGATCTTCTTCTTTGGGATCCCACCTGGCCAGCAGGATGTCTCTGGGTTTGAGAGTGAGGAAGAGGCCTGTCCTCGGGCCAATTTCTCCTCCACAGCTTGGCTGGTTGACAGAGCAGTAGTGGAGGAAGTGCAGGCCTGGGGGGATCATCTTCACACCCTTGAAGCGGGGACCGACCTGCCAACTCTTGCAGTCAATCCCCAGCTCTGTACCCTGAGGGACACCCAGCAGCACCAGGGTAGCTCCCTCCTCAAACAGCCTCCGAGCAACATCTGGATCCATGTCTACTGCAGCGCCGCTGTTCGCCATGTCTGCTCCGTCAGTGACTGCTCTTCACACACACCAGGCAACACGACAACGAAACTAGGCTTAGAACTCCTATAAGTTTGAGTTTTTCCTGCTCAGAACATCCAGCAACATTTACCCGACAGTAAACACACAGTGACGCTGCCGTTTTTTGTTTTTTTTTTCTATTTCTCTCTGAAAAACATTAAAGAGAAAATGTGACGGAAATAAACATTTCAATAAATAAGCCTTTAAAAACGTAGTAGCAGTGAAGCAAATGTACCACAACCGTACCTTGTGTTTGCTGGTTGTTGATGTTTCGTATCGTTAGGGAATCGTTTGGTCGAGGCTGTGCAACAAACTTTCTGCTCCCGGTGGAAACAGCGCTGCAGTAGAAGAGTTCCGCCCCTATGGTAATATAGCGTTACCGAGGATGTTTGTTGTCTTCTTGTTATTATTTCACTCCAAAATATATGATTAACGTATTTATAATAACTTATATTTAAAATTTTAATTATTATAGATATGATATATTATCTTCAAATTATATCAGTGTGAGGACCAATACAAAAAAGTGTTAAAAAGTGTGACATAAGGTCATATTTTTAATCACTACTTTATTATTTATAATCACTTTTATTTTACTCTATTATCTTTTTTTAAAATAATTTCTTGGAAGCTGTCTGATTGTTGAACATTGATTGTGTTAATAAATATGTTTTTAAGTTGGTGATACTACATCTATACCACAACCACCAATAATATTACTAATAATAATAATTCCAGTAATAATCATCATCATAATCACAGAACCAAGATATCATGTGAGTAGAAATAAGACATTTTAAAAAGTTTGTTTTATTATATTGCATATATTCCAAAACATAACAGAGAGAAGAACATGTCATGGGTATGGTGATACATATATATTTGGCTTACAAAGACAAAAATGGTTGTTACAACAAGAGAGATCTTAGACAATGTAGACAATGTGCATATTCTGAAAGTATCTGAATGCATTGTGGATATTTTTTTAGCTTATCTGTGGTTACTATAAAACTATTCCATAAAACAAGGAGCAATTCTGACATGCAAAGTCTGGTATTGTTTTAAAACACAAAACACTGAGAACTTGACAACAGTAAACATTCATGACATATCATTTGAATAACAGCTATCTAAATACAGTAGGTCATTAGTCATGTAATATCCTCTGTTTGAGTGAGCTTTCTTTTGAAATTCACTGGGTGTCTTCATGAGAAAGTAGCACAGGCTTACAGGAACCAAGAAGACACAACATTTCCTACTTTGAGAGCATATGGGCACTCTGAAGTTTCTGCCAACAAGTTATCAGTGCATTGATAACTTTGATTAACCTGATCCTCTTTCTCTTCTTTCCTCGTATTTTCTTGACAGCTGAACAATAGGTTTTCTTCCCCTGAAAGCATACAACCAGAAGTATTGTTATGCAGCAAAGTGTTGGCTTTTATCAAATGATCTGCTTTAATACTGTTCATATCATCATTAAAGATGTTTATGTATCCTTTACTGTGTTCCTTTAGCCTTTGCTTTTTTTTATTGTTGTTGTGTCCTTATTTATTGTGGGAAAATGGAAATAAAATAGAAGAATGTACCTCCCCTTACCAGATAATTGGGGCTGCAGTTGTGAATGATGAGTTGCTCCATGCTCTGAAGAGGCTTTTCCAGGTCAGCTTGTTGTTTGCCACTCCTCTGACACCGCATCTCCTGTGTCATACCATAGATGGAACCCAGAATGCGACGTGTCTGCCACAGGACAGTAACACCCAGCATTTAAAACATCTGGCTAATCTGTTAATGGCACTATACAGCAAATTAAAGTTATACTTCCAAATCTTTAATGTAAGACAGGAACACATGTAGACAATGTGACCGGTTTTGTGAAATCCAAAGTACAAAAGTATCAGGACAAATTAGGATTTTATCATCTTTACCCTGTCCATGGTGCTGAAAGCACACATACTGTAGTGGCATTTACCTTTCCTGAGGGACAGTGGTCTCTCTCTTTGGAGGTGTTTAGAGGGCCAGTCAAATTCTGTAAAAGAACAATCAAATGTGGATTTATTAAAGGAAATCAAAAATGTCATTAAAAAGAGAGAAAAACAGGTTTGACCTTACCTGCAGCCTGTCACATATTCAAGCATTGCTCCCACATGTTTAATTACAGCTGCAACTGACTCGATTAAACTAACATTTAGACCAATTCTGGTCAATGGAGCAAATAAAAGAATACAATTATTAATAGTAAACTTAAATATGTCTCTACCAAAGTCACATACAGAATCGCCAAAACATATCTGTAATACATATCTGCATACCAGATTCTGCAGCTCAACGAAGATGACCTCTCTGTAGGAGCCCAGGATTTCTTTATAGTTACATCCACGTTTACCACAGGAGTTGGCCAACAAGAGAACCACCAGGACACTACGGAGCAGAGATCCGGTCAGACACTATGAAAGAGAGAAGCGTTATGACATATGTTATGTAAAGGAGTGCACTCTCGATTAACATAAAAAAAAAAAAAAAAAGACCGTGGATCAATGTTCATTTGGCTCGGACGCACGGTGCGCCTCAGTCTGACGTGCGTTAAAGCGTGAGTCAGTTTGCAGCCCTTTGCACTATATGCCATCATTAACTAATGCAAATAGTGTCCTGTTTAAAGTACATCAGTGCACTATAAATAGGACTTTATAGTCAGCTGCGCAACTTTCAATACGTTTCTGTATCAGCTCATCCGTTGCGTAAATACGCACCAAATGTTAAAACCACACGTACCATTTATCATGTTCTACTGCGGGATCCTCAGACGAGCAAAGCCATCTCTATCAGTAACAGGGAGATCCAAGGAATTACTCCTCATCTGACCGCGGTCATTGTCCCCAAAAGCTTTTTCTTCTCCAGTATTTTTACACTTCCTCCGGTGGATAGGTTAACGCGGTGGCGGATACACTTCCGATGTGGTGCTCCGTGGTTCCCAACATCACCAAAGTCACTGCTGCTCCAATTTCCTTCCCCGTCATGGATTGCTGACGCCGAGCTTTGGATTTCACCAAACTCCAGTCCGATCAAGTCTAGGAAAACGTCTGCAATCAATCATTCGCCTTCATCCTTTCGGTTTCGTTGGAAAGACGTGATAGAGAGCAGGAGCGGGTGTGAACAGCGGGTGTAATTTGGTGGATGATTTTACGTGTTCAGGGAGGGTGGTGTAAGTGGCGATGGGAACTCTAATCTGTAGTGTAAACTATAGAAAGCAGTGGAATAATGAAACTGTGTTTAATAGTTTTGTAATTTGTTTTGTTGGAAACATTTTACATAACGCAGTGAGTCAAACTGGTTGCAGCCAAAACCAAAAAAAGTTTTGAAATCCCATACAGAGCAACCAAACATGCATGGCAACATGTACAACTGCTGGACTGAACTATTTGGTTAAACAGATCTTACAAAGAAACCAACTATAAGAACTGGATCTGACGTTAAACAACCATTTTCTAACACGACTTGTTTGGGAACTGTGCAACAAACAGTGTTGTTTATTGGATGCCTGCAAAGTATTTGAACACATTTCAAGCAAACTAGGTAAAAAAAAAAGCAGTTCATTACAACATGATAAATCATGAAACAGTCCCTGACAAGAAGTTTATATACACTACCAAACGGACAAAGACAAATCTGGATTCTCGCATATCCCTGTGGACGAGAAAAATAAGTTTCCTCAAAAATAAGATGTTTTGATTATCGTCATTGTTATTATTTCTGTTACATTGTCATTTCTGTTTTATTTTCACAGCAACCACAATGACTGAAATTAGAATTTCGACACTAATCAGCAGAAAAACAGACAAATGTCAAAGTGAACACAATCCCAAATAAACAAATTCATCCTAATTTAGTACAAATATAAAACTAAAACAATTGCCTCCAACTTTTAACAGCTTTTACTACGACACACCGACATCATTACTAGTGCAACCAATTATTATTAGAATTCACATCACATTATATGTTAATAAGAGACACAGAACTGGTACAGGCTGCTTAGATTTAACCGAGCATACGGGTTTGTGCAGCAGTTAAACAAAAATGGACCAACAGGATGGCTAAACAATGGATACCACTAACTACATGTAATTAACATGAGAGGTCATGGCTGGGTCCGAATAACAAAAGGTACAGTACTGTGTCTGCCGTCACTTAACAGTTGTCAGAAGATGGAATTAAAGCTGATTTACAGATTCATGAATTAGGCCATAAACATTTTACTAGAATAGGTGTGTTACTCTTTAGTCAATCAGAAATGATTCAAACAACTGTTGCCCAGGTGATTCACCAGGTGCAGCTCTATGGTGGTGTTACAAGGTGTTTTAAAAAAAACGCACGCAACATCTGAGTGTGTGTCTGACAGAAGGGAGAATGAAACAAAGAGGAGGAAGGAAGCAAAACACACTGGAATCCAAGAGAACAACCAACAGCAGTATGCAGCCAGACGTGGGAGCAAGTTTACTTCCTTGCAAGACAAATACTTCAAACAAAACCGAAGCTAAGCAAGAATGGCTTAAAAACAACAAAATAATGTCCTAGAGTGGTCAGGTTCAAGTCCATATCTTAATCCATCTGAGGACTTGAAAGTGCAGTTCACTTAACTGTCCATAGAAACCTACTTCTGTTACTAGGACTTGTTTTATTATACATTGGTACTTGTGTTAAATTTTGTGGAATTGTTCTCACTTTGACATCAAATCATCATTTTCTGTTGGTAAGTACAAAACTGTCAATTCTGTAAACAAGAAAAACATAAAAAAGGCTATCTGCCGAAGGAGCAAGTCCTGGTAGAGAACAATAGTTGAGCGTGTCCATAGCTGTTTCCTGCAAGACGGGTGACTGCCAGAGTCCTCCAGGTGTTTTCAGTCCAAATTTCCCCAGTCTCAGAATGTGTTCTTGATCTTGCTGGCTACCCCCGCTAAGATCTCTCCTGTCTTCTTCTGCCAGTTCAGGACGTGTTTGGACTCGGCACACCACAGCTCTCCGTGGCGGGGCTCCGCATTCTCACAGCGCTTTCGTACCTCTTCCTGCTGCTCCTGATGGACGCAAGAATAGTGAGGTTAGATATCCATAACAGATACCAAATACCCCTCCCCATACACACTTTACTTAAACTTGTTAGAATGACGACACACATCAGCACATCTTCACTCCCACATACTGAATGCCTGCTAACACTTGTAACTCGAGGCATCAAGTTATTAGTAAATCTGTCAGGCTCTTCTTTCTTACAAACCTGGTACTTTGAAAGAAAATGTCAACAACTGAAGAAAACTGAATAGAAAGCTTGTTGCTTAAGGCTTATTTCTAGAGTTACTCCTCGGTCTTAATAGCATTCAATATTGTTTTGTGGTAAAAAACACAATGAGAGCATAGTTGTCCATTGTAGTCATAGCTGTTACTAGGCTTGCACAATATGATAAAAAATTCATGTTAAGGTCTGTACAAAACAAACATGTTTTCTTACATCTGGAGAATACCATTTATAACCATGGGCAACTCTGCAGCACTTCATTATAAAGGTGTTTTGTCACAGATTTTACAAAGCAGCTTAAAATGCAGCTTCTGTGACTTGGATATTGCATTTGCCATATTGCAATTTTGCTAATATTTTTCTTAATTCTAACTTGTATTTAACTGCAGAATGTCAAACTGAACCATGTGAACATGACATATTCCACTGTAAATGTAAAGCACACAAAGTGGTTCACACACAAAGTGGTTCACACACAAAGTGGCACAAGTTCTACACCCAGATAAGGACACACAACAATAAGATCTTTACCTCTGTGCCGTGCTGCAGTTCAAACTTGTAGAAGAATGCCCAAGCATCTCCCAGGTCTGGCTCAATCTTTACAGTCCTTAGGAACCACTCTCTGGCTTTGGTGATCTTACGCTCACTCCAGAACAACCTAAAACAAGATTGCATTTGAAATAGATACAGATTCAGGTACCATGCAACACAGTTTGCTAAATACACTGTACAACCACACAGAGAAAATGTCATATAATCAAGATTTGCAAAAAGAGCAGAACTTATTACTGGGAAGGAGAATAGAAAACAATGAAAGGATTGCTGTCATACTTTGCTACAGCGAGCAAGACATGGGGATCATGTTCACACTTCTTCAAAGCATCCACACTCTTAGTCTTCCTCTGGGGCCTGGCCTCCAAAAACACTGCCTCAGCCCACAGGATACCTTGTAGGAAGGAAATGGGAGTGGGGGGGGGGGATTTGAGATTACACAGGAAGTCATTGTAAAATAATATGTTTTGTGTCCAATCTGCATACCGAACCACAGGAATACCACTATAAAAATTACTATCTAAACACATAAACTTCATTTAAATATACTTGAACAGAAAAGAGGTGCTGTGTTTGTTGTCTTTTCCAATCAGGTAGATTGTAAGCAGGTAAACAAAGTTTCAAAACATACAGTCATTAAAGTAAAACAGGGTTTTGTCTTTGTTTTCTGGGGAAAAAAAAGGTGTAGAAGCAGGAATATATTTTCACCTGAATTGGGGCACTCCTGCAGGGCTTTGGCCATCAGCGTGTTGGAGATGTTCTTCAGTCCAGCTCGGAACTCCAGCCTGACCGATTCCAACCTGGTTATGATGACAAACGCATCGTTTTAGAGCAGGGGTTCCCAAACATATTATTCAAAGGTCCGCATCAGATATTCGAGTCACAGTTTTATACAGTGATTGCTGATAACAAAATAGGATTCAGTCACATTCATTTAGTTGTACAAATTGTGTACTACAGAAAAAAACATTCTGTATCTGCGATCAAGGAGCTGAAATCAAATTCTCTGGTACGTTAATGTGTGAACTTGGCAGCAACAACTCACATTCTCTCTCCAGCAGTTAAGACTGCCATGACAACAATGTCAACAATAGGGAAATAAGCGACATTAAGATCACATTCATCCGGGAACAGGATTACTGCGATTTAGGGCTGGACCCAATATAAGACTACACAGATATTCGTTCGTTGAGTAGGTATTACGTTTTCAATTTTGGGATTCGGATATTCGCACAGACACTTGCTGCACACTGCTGCACACACACACACCAGCTTGCCCCGCCTCAACTCTTTGTTTCTCTTTCGCAGTATCATACAGGGACAGACACCAGCTGTACATGTCTGCACTGTTGACAACTTGCGTTTTGGATTTTTTTTTACCCACGATTCCGTTTTGCAACAAAAGTAGGTGAGCCGTGTGTTTCTCTGCTTGTGCGACTGTACGTAGATGGAAGGGGTTTTAAGCAAGGGGACGCTGTTGGTCTCTCAGACGGATAAATGAAATAGTATGTCATGCTCAGCTCCCATTGTGTCGTTAGACAATATTACACTTCATAATGTGTTGTATTCATTACAACAGATGCGGACTGAGGTCAGGATGAGTAGTTGGGCTAATTTTTAATTTTACATCGATCCCAGTTTCGGTGCAGTATTTGAAGGAAAACTAAATGTTGTAAAAGTACATTTAGCACATGGTGTCTAGTTTTGGAAAGCAAATTCATCATAATTGTAATTTTCTATTGTACCCGTTCTCTAACATACATACTACAGACCTGTGCTGAAAGTGTTACTGAAGAGGGAAGTCACTTGAATGCCACAGCAAATATTTTTAAATGCTCAGTGCACAAAGAAAACTTGTTTTACAGGCATAGAGCACAAAGATTTATGTTCATTTGTTTGTCTCCACACAGGTGACACATTTTTAATTCAAAGCACTTCCTAAGGCAGCTTCCTTCGTTTGCATTCAAGTGGCTTACCAAGTTTTCTCTGTTTATTTATTTGTGTATTTCCTCACCACAGCTCGGGGCTTTGGGGATTTTTGAGTCGCGCCTTCTCCAGGATCGCTCTGGCTCTGGTCAGCTGTCCCACTCTCTCTTCAAGACGAGACAGCAGCAACCACAGGGCCACCGAGTGGGGACACTTTTTCAACTGCAGCAACAAAAAAGTAATTGATTACTTTTTTAGAGTTAAGAACCCACAAAACACGTCAAAGTCCAAGTCCCTTGGTTCTATTGCCTTTTTGGTTATTAGAACACCTTAACAAATCCTTGCCCCAAAACACTCTCCCCCCCGCCTCACCCCTTGGTTGTAAGCCTCTCTGGCCTTATCCATGTTTTCACACTGCTCTTCGATCTGGCCTCTCATCATCCAAAGTTTTGGGAAGTCTTCGTAGTGTTTCAGGGCCTCTGTGCACAGCTCCTGGGCAGCTTCTATGTTCCCCAACACCCACTCCAATTTCACTGACTTCATAAATACCTGTAGAGATTAAAACACACACGCACGCACACACACGCTTTCAGTCAAAGATTATGTATAAACAGGACCCATGAACTCTCCTATGAAATTCCCTTGGGCTTGTCATATACTTGGCATATACTAAAATGGCTGAAAAACAATTTGAAATGCACAGTTGTCTTATCTGACAAGACAATCAGTGCCGCCAACATTAAAGCAGGTTATCTCAGTCATATCTGTCAGCAAATACAATACAGATAACTGAGGGAGTATAGTCAGGTCACCTGATAGAGAAAATGATAGTTTAAGAGCACCGCTGACAGCATATGTCACCATGACTACTGTTTTGATGTGTAGAAACCTGGCAAGCCTGAACCTGAAGACAGCACGTTTGTAGAAGTCAAATACAAATACAATGCACTATTGACTTACTATTTGACACTGGCTTTCAAGCCGAATATAATATTAATCAAGCCACCCCCTAAAACAAGGAATGAACTCTATTCATACCAAATTACACAATGAAAAACAAACTGAGTGTACTGGTACACAGGGTCACAGAAGGGCAGTTAGAGAGTAAAAGGACAGGACAGCTCAAATACACAAACTAACTTCCCCTTTAAAAGTTAGGGAAATGTGCATTTATTCCATCAATCTTTTTCATTAACATTTCTTTCTGTCTGTGTTACAATCCAACAGATATCAGATGATGAAGGAGGTTTTGATTAACAAAAAACACTATATTAAAAACTAAATGGGGGAACCATTTCCCAACTTTTATCCAATGGATTTGTGTAGATTTCTACTCCTATTCTGAATTGCACTAGGGATGTGAATAAATTATATATTTTATACCAATGCCATTGTCAATTTTGCTTATTGGCCTGATTCTTTATCGACTTTCTTATCGATTCCTAATGAGTTTTCTGTGTGAAAAAAAGTATGCTTACACAGGTTTTATCATCTCTGAGCCTGAACAGTGTTGAACCAATGTTAGAGTAGAAAAAGTTGCCCTTTAGGTTTCCTTAGTCAAAGAAAAAATGTACTAAGCCTGTAGTTTAACGTAATTGTTTTGCACAACTGTCAGAAAAACATCCCTGATAAAATAATTGATAAGCTCGGAGGCATTCAATTTGGATGATGGATGGATTTGGAATTGGTTCTCGATTCCCATCCCTATACTGGATCTTCATGATTTTGAAATAGGGAAATGTTTTTGCCGTTTTCTCACAAACACACACTCACCCTGGCTGTTGGGGCACTGCTGCGGGCTTTGGCCAGCAGTCGACGGGCTCTTTCATACTCGTTATTCTCAGACTCCAGCTTAACAGCAGCCAGCCAGATCTCTTCACTGTTTGGGTTAGCCTAGAGAGGAAAGTAAAATGAAAAGGAACGGAGAGTGTGTGAGGGAAAGAGGGGGAGAAAAAGGAAAGGGGGAAACAAACTTAGACACAGTATCGCATGGATACTACATGAACAGGTCAATGTTTACATAATGTCATTGTCACCTGGAAGGCCAGAGCAAGGATACTTCTAGCTGCAGGCACATCCTCAGCCAGCCACTTGGACTTGGCTCCCATCAGCCACAGGACCTCTGCCTTGGGACAGTGAGCCACAGCCCTTTGGAGCAGGGCCTCCAAAGACTCCCTGAGAGATGCAATGAGATGTTGAAGAGTAATGGAGGTGAGAAGAAAAAATAAGTAATAAAACATTAACAAATGAAGATGTGAACTAATCAGTAGTCAGCTTTAGACTACTACTGTTTTCTACGCTTAGAAACCAAATGTGATCACCTGGTGCCGTGGTTTTTCTCAAAGTAGGCAGCTCTAAGCCAGACACTTTTTTTACTGGGGAACACCTGCAGAGCATGGGCATAGATGGCCCTGGCACACTCCAATGCTCCATGGGCCACACACTGAAACATAACAGACAAGCACCTCAATTAAATTAGGTCAAATTAGTATGTAAATGAGCCTTCTAGGTGTGTTAAAAAAAATAAAAAAAAAAAAAAGATATATTGATACTCACACTATCTGCATCTTCCATCCAGGTATGCTTTCGGTCCTCTTCCTCGATGCCAATCCCTATGACGGCCCTTATCACGGCCTGGCAGGTAGCCACACTGCCGGCTTTGTCACACTCCTCTGCATCCTGCAGGACAAGAACAAACATTTACATGTGGGTGTACACTGGAGGAGAATGCGAGAGTTATGATATGAACTACTGACCCCAATAGTATAGTAGTCAGTAAATTCCAAGAAATGATGGCACTATTTACATGGAAATAAATACATACCTCAAACGTCTGACTAAAATGTCAGAAAAACCCCCAAATGAACAAAGATAATAGATAGATATCCAGTTTATAGATAATGAATCTTTTATGGGAGGTAATCTCTGCACACATAATTGTTGTAGGCAAAACAAAGGACTAGCTCAGGGTCCCACTGCACACATCTGTTGCTGGTGTTATGATGAGTGTACTGGCAAATGGCCTTGATAAACCTACCACAACAACCACATACTCTGCCAGGGGTAGAAAAAGTCAGGAAAATAAAGAAAAAGGATTGCAGCAAAGGCTTATGATTGCAAAACAACTGTGAACTGCGCTTAACAAAATGTCAGTCACAGTGCTGACTTGTATTCTGTTGCGCCCAGATGAAATAGCAGAGGGCAGCTTTGCCAAAGTATGCTGGCATGCTATCAAAGCTGACACACTCACAATGCAGTCTGTACTCCTTCAGCACCAATGTTTAGAGGCACGATAATTTATTTTTTCTAACCTTATGATTTGCAGGTTCATTCCGATATAGTTTATGATCTCAATGAGAGATTAGAAACACCTCTCAATTTAATGAAATCTAATCAAAACAATCATTAAATATAAGGGCCTTGCTGTTTAAAATAATGTACTCTTTTACCTTGGAGATTTCCTATCATGAAAGCATACTCATTTCTTACGACATCAGGGAACTCATTTATTCTGTGGAGCAAGTTTCCCTCAGTCATTCACTGCTGCAGGGAAATCTCAATCTCTCTCTCTCTCATGATGTCAAAGAAACCACAAATAAATGAAGGAACACACCTGTATCCACTGCTCTCTGTTGATCTCCACGCCATTGGCGCGTAGTGAAGTGATGGCTCTGTCAATGATCTTATCGACCATCTGAGTGTTGCCATTGGCCTCCTCCAACTTGGCAGCAGTGATCCAGATGTGGCGATCTGTCGGAATGTTCTCTCGAGCTTTGTTCAGGACGCGACGGGCATTCTCGTATGTCTCTAACCGGGCCAATGCCAGCCACAGCTAGAGAGGACAGACAGAAATAGTTAGATTTAGAGGTAAGTGCAAAGGTTCATATACTGAATTGCAGTGCAGTGTGTTGCATCCTGTTAGCCATATATGCATGGTATCATTGTTTGCTGGGGGATGAAATGACAGCATGCCAAGGCGTACCTCCACACTAGTAGGGCAACACTCCACAGCTCTGCTAAGCATGATCCTGGCGTCCTCTGGCTCCTCCAGCTCAACAGCTGTCTTCCACAGTCGAACTGACTTGGATACATTCTCCAGGGCTACATGGGTAAAAATTTTAAAACGGTTGAGTCATTTTATTGACACATTTATTCCAAGTGACTTATAACATGTAACAGCAGGTAAGTGTTTTTCTTAAGGCAATTTACTGTTAAATACATTAAAATCCCTGGACCTTGCTGTTACAGGCTGCACATCCGTTTTAACCAATTGGTGATTCTGGCACAATAATGAACAAATAATTGAAACTATTTTTTAATACTGAAAATACACAAACCAAACCGTATTTACTGACAACACATCACATACAGAGGCAAAAAAGGAAATGGAGACACTACAGATTTTAGTAAACACTTCCAATAAAAATAAACACCAAACGACTAATACTGCAATAGTAGTAAAGTTCAATAGCGTCTGAGTGGGAAGAGGGCTGCGTATGTGATGGAGATAAGTAGAGCAGAGGCAACTGAACATGTAGAGGCAAAGAAAGCTTTTACACAGAGGAAGCTTCCCATCCATCTCTGTCAGTGGGGTATGCTGCTGGGAAATATCGGTGTGTTAGTGTGTGTGTGTGTGTTAGAGTGTGAGTGTGAGTGTGTGTGTTAGGGCATTGACATGATGGTTCAAATAGGGTGCCTGGCCTTGACAAAAAGCCAGAAGCACAGCTGCCAAATGTAATGCTTATAAAATCTTTTATGCAATGTTATGTGTTCAGGGAGTGACTGAGTAGGTCTGTGTGGTTGTGGCTCTTTTACGAGACAATGGACAGATGGAGACTAGTACTGAACTTTTGCCCAGCAGAAATTAGTGTCTTCCTTTTGGCAGGAAAATCATGACGCACACAAAACTCTCCTCATAACAACTCTCTAGTGAAAATATCAAATTTAAATTTTCTCACAATCTGATGAAATATATACACATACAGGCAAGCAAGTTAAAAGCTACTTCAAGACAAAGTTGATACTATCTGGGAGCCTTACCCTTCCTGAGAACTCGTTTCTTGGCCCTGACGTCTGTCTCCAGCTCTGCAGCTCTGATATAGATGCGGACAGACTGTGGCAGGTGGCGGACAGCCTGGGCTACCACGGCTTTGGCTGTGTCACCGGGCTGGAGCCTGGCTGCCTCTAGCCAAACATCCTCACTCTGGTAGGAAGAGAGAAATACTTAAATCAACAGGAGGACAAGGACCATTTTCCTCATTGCAATTTAGTTTACACTGCATGATTTTAGCAAAATTTTCCATTCATTGACAGTTTTTGGAGATAGCTAACAATAGTCAACAGAGGCAAACTGGCACTTTATCCTGGGAGAACGATTGCTATGTGTGAACTGTTTAAAGACGTGACCAGAGGGCTCACTGATGCCTCGCAGACATCTGAAAAATATCTAGCAGGCTAAATATTTGGTCATGTAAAGGAGCTATGCAATGAGCTACAGCCAATGAAAGCAGACAAAGGTTTATGTCTCTCTCCAGCACCAGACAGCAGCGAACCGAGTAGTTACTTTCGTAACGGCCGAATAAGACATCACACACAATAGCTGGTGAATTAACACTGTTATGCGTCCGAGTTCAGTTCAATGTGTATGTGATCAACGAACCAGCGCTTACTTTAGTGAGAAATCTTAATTTTTTTAACTGAAAGTGTGCAGCTATAACAGAGGGAGCGAGAGAGTGAGCTGAGGCAACAAAATGTAAAGTTTGTACAGTTTCTTTTTATGGATTATATTAACAATTAAATCAACGCTCTTTAGCTTGTGTTTCTAGAGTTTCGTCTTGTGACGGACACGTAAGGAATTTTTAAAATGTTATATTTCTTAAATTAAGTTTGGCCCAGTGAGCTTTTAGTTTAATTAAAACTGCTAATATGTATAATTTTTAACATTTTGCCAACACCACAGAAACCGACTTTAATGGTTTAATGTGTGTAATGATTTGCTGACAGTTTTATTTTTGGGGGGAGGGGTTGCCTTTATTGGATTGGACCACTGAAGATAGACATGAAAGGGGTAGAGAAAGAGGATGACTACTGCCAGACAGACTCTGGGATTACTCCTAAAGAATCACGATTACAAGACAGAAAGTTGTAGTGTCAACAGTGCAGCGATCAGATGACTTTGAAGCTTTAGGTTGACAGTATTTTGTAATTTTACCATTTAATATCTATCAAACAAGATTGAAAGGAGTATTATTTATCATTCATGTTCTAAGTTTAATTTGCTTCTTCCTCATAGCACAAGTGTATCCCATCAACCAATAACAAACAAATCAAATCAAGAAACCTTTCTCAAGCTTATGGTCTGGATGAGCTAATAACACATACTGTATTTGTGTCCATCATCGTTTACCTTAACACACATCTCTGTGCCTTTCATGATCAGGTTCCTGGCCACCTGCAGTTTGCCGGTCACCTCCTCCAGCCTGGCAGAAGCAATCCAGGCAGGCGGGTGATGAGGATTAGTCTCCCGCACTGATTTCAGAAGCAGACGAGCCTTCTTGATGTCACTGGACATGCAGAGCCAAATTTATAATCAGACACGCACACACAACAACAACTAATTCAACACAAAAACACACCAAGAACGTCCTGTGTCTCTACCTTATGTCGCCTCCATGTGTGGGGATCATGGAGTTGAGATCTGTCAGGTAACCCTTCGGATCCACAACCGTCTGTCCGCTCACTGAGTCAGACACCTGAAGATAGATAAAAGGCAGACACAGGTGAAATAAAATAATAAAACCTGTGTATCAGGATAATGACAGTGAAGTATGAATGATATAACGGGGCAGAGGATGATCATCGGTTACCTGGCTGAGCCTCATATCCATGAGTGTGTTCCTGGCCTGACCGATTTTCCTCATGTCCAGTTCTCCTGTCCCTGGGGTCATCAAGCCGGGGGTCATGCTTCCTGGGTAAGGTGTGTTCAGACCTCCCAGCTAGTGGAGGGAAGAAACAATGATAATGGAGAGGAGCATTACACTCTCTGTGAGAATTTTGTTACGGCATGGTTAAGAGGCTTATGAAACATAGACCTAGATCATATGACACTTTTCTCGCCTTAGTAAACGATACCTGTGAAAAAGTGTGAACAAGACTCATGTGCTGCAAGACTGAACAATACTGGGTAGTGAATGTTTCCATTTTCTTTTCCATGCAGGTACTGTGTAATGCATACAACTGCCATGTACAATGAATCAGACCATTCAAGTTGCCTTACTTGTATATTTTAAGTGCCAGAAGAGGTGATGTGATCAATATCAGCAGAAATATGTGTCTGTTTCCAGTTACAAAAGTTGTGCTTTCTCTACAACATGTCAAACATTTATTTTCATTCTTAATCTTGGTATCTATCAAAACGTTGCTGTGATATTTTCTACACTGTACAAGGGGGTCTGCTGAGATTACATGACTGCATGGAACTTGCAAACTGCATTAAGTGTACAGGTGAAATGATTTGCTTGTTTCCAGTAAGATATCCTGACTCCTGCTGGTCCAAGCGGAAACTACATAATGTGCTTTTATGTGAACGTCTACACTATGTTAGTAAGTGTTTGTATGTATACTGACCCCTTGCAGAGGGTCAACAGTGGTGTGATTCTCTCCGGTCTGCAGGTGTTTTGAGAAGAAGCTGTCGGGGACAGGGGTGAGTTTCTCATAGCGGGGATTTCTCTGGCGCTTATTCCTGGCATCTCCCACCTCAGGGATACTCAGCCACTCCTCCTCTGACACTTCTGCCAACTTCCTCTGTGAAGAAATAAAAAGAGAGAATAAAGAAGGATGAAAGAAATATGTGGCCTAAGCTGGTATGTCAGCAGAGAATCATTTTAAGTGCTTAAGAAGGCAGGGTGTGCTGAAAGGTTAATCTGTAAAATTTTAAAAAGGACAATGTTATCAGTGTGTGGCTTTCCCCTCCTTTAATTGATTACGCAAAGAGATGTGGTTTCCTAATAACAGACTTACAGCAGCGTAACGTTGCTGTCTTGTCAATGTACAATACAATTAGAGTGATTTTCATAGGTTGGGAAGATATGGTTTCTCACCAAACAGTGATAAAATATCATCTATAAAATGTTCAAAGACAGATGTAACAAGAGGACAGCAAAGGAAATTTGAATGCAATCACAGGTGGAAAAAAGGCAGTAGTTGGGTGTATCATGTGCAATTTTGTACCTTTAGATCTGAGAACTGCTGCTGGATTTTGGGTCGCTCCATACGGTATTTCTCAATTTCTTCCTTTTCTCTCAGTTCCCTGAAAATACACAAGACAGCATTCAAAATTGCACTTGTGTGCTGTATCGAGTGCACAGAATGTACGACATGAAAACAATGGGCCTCATGCAACAACATTTTTGTATTCATATCTGAACTTTCTCTTCCATGTCAGATTCAGCAAACACTCCTAACTTTAGATTTATGTGTAAATCACCAATGTAATAATGATGAATGCCACCTGTGAGTAATGGAGCGCATGTTCATGAAAATAAAAAAATCTGCATAACTAATGCCACATAAGGCTACACTGCATGCCCCATGTGTTAGGAAGTTCATTCATGAAAATTATATGGAAGAGTAAAAGGAAGATCTACTCTGAGATTTGATGTACCTTCTTTCTTTGCGTCTTTCATCCATCCTCTTGTCCAGTGCTGCATATATAGCATCTGCTTCTTCATCATCCTTCTCATAGGGCCCGCTGGAGAACAAGCTCCCTGCGTATCCATTAAACTACAAGAAAAAAAGGCACCAAAATGTGATCAGAATCGTCAAGAATCAATTTTCATTTCAACTTTAAATCTTGAATGGAAACAGTCCAGTCATAGGCACCTCATCATAGTTTGTGTCGTTCAGATCCTCATCATCATCATCCTGGTTCTTTTTCATTTGGTCCCCAACCGTCCTCTTCCCTGGGGGTGCATGTCGGTCATCCACTGGATCGTTGGCATCACGAGCTGGACCGATATCCGATCGGGTGGTGAAACCAGTTGCTCTGATGAGGAGCAATTAATATAAATATCACACAAATAAACACAGACAGTCTTGTGATGAGCATGCAGAGAGAGCTGTTCAAAATAATCCATGAGCAGCTGATGATGGTGACTTTACAAGCTTATGTGGGCTTTGATTACTTTTAGCAGCTAGTTGACTAATTAACATTAAATCAAGCTGCCTTATCAAGACACTTAAAACGACGCTGAAGTTGGCTTCCGATTCGCCAGCCTCCGATTCGACACTTAAGGGGAAGGTTAAGGGGAAATTAACTTATTGTGCAGCGCAACTGTTTGTCCACTGATTGTCTGTTTTTTGTGACACTTCTTGATGTGAAAACGTTTTAGACATTTTAGGTAAGACATCAGCTTTGACTGACACCTACGATTGTATCTGTGAAACTTTTATTTTATTTGTGAAAATGCTAAAGGGGAGATTTCACCATTTTTGTTTTACACCAAGACCTCATTAGACCAGGTCCAGATCAAAAACCACTGTACCTAGACCTCTCAAATCTGGACTGGATTGATGTACAGACCCTGAAGATTCATAAAAACACAGTCTCTGATTTGTGAAAATGCAATAAAGACACATTTCACACTTTTTTCAGCATATAGACCACTTTGGACAAGGTCCAGATCCAAAACCACTGTACCTAGACCTCTCAAATCTTTCTACATGGAGAAGTTGTTGAACACTGGTTGAAGTGTACGACGCTGAAGTTGGCTTCCGACGTCGTACACTTAAACCAGTCTGCCAGCAAGATACCAGTAGTCATGTGACCAGCATCGTCAGGAGTCTTCAACTCCCCCATAATAAATCAGTATGAGGGGTCGGAAATAAGAAGTTAATGAGTTTGTTTTGAAAATAATTTAAAATATATATATAAGAAACAATGCATCCAATACAAATATAATACATTTACTGACTGAACTAGCTCATGAGGTGTACTTACAATTAATGCACAAATAAAATAGTCCTTACACCTCAGCTCAGCTCAGCTCAGCTCAGCTCAGTCGCCAGCATAAACGTATTACAACGCAGGACAGCTTGCTAAAAAACCTCGCAGACATAAAAACCTTGCTTGCTGGCTAGTTAGCACGCTAGCATGGCAGGTTAGCTTACCCTCTGCCCAGACCGGGGACGTAGCCCAGCGGAGCGGGCATCCCCAGAAACGGTTTCTTTTTCTTCCCCATGAGCGGAGAGGCGAGGGGCATTATCGGCGGCGCACCGCCAGCCCCCGCCGCCCCGGCGCCTCCCGCAGACGATTTGGAGACAATTTTGGGCGCTTGTTTTCCTGCGGCGCTGGCCATCGTTGCAACGACGAGGAGGCTCACTGCCGGATACACAACAGTCGCACTTCCGTTAGCAGCAAACGGCGACCCTGTCCTTCTCGATATTTCCGTTGGTGGTTGTAAACAGCGCCCCCCACAGGGCAGGCGGGTTTATGCTTATTTTCAACTTTTCTTGTGATATTTGTTTTCTCCTAAATTGTTCATGTTAATTATGTAACGCGCTCATTTTCCATCTCGCCGTGTGACTATGTTATAGAAATTATTTCCTTAGGATATTTACCGTGTTTCATACTAATATTAGTTAGCCACAGGAGCCACAGGAGGGCGCCACATCCTGAAAAATAATAAGGCCTATTGAAATATTGCAATCGATCACGTTTAAAGTAGACCTACAGGCTTTATCGATTAGTATTCATAATAGTGTTTTTGAAGCTGGTTCATGTCATTCTTAATGCTTCTGAAGTGTATTACCTGAACTAACTTGTCATACAAGATACATACAGAAAGTTCAACTTTGGTGTCTTTGTATATTATTCTACTTACTCTACTTTAATATTCTCATAATTAATTTTCTTCAGGGAAATTAATGCAAACTTCAAAGGCTTATATAATAGGCCTGGTAATTAAATTCAATTTAGTCATCAACAGAATGTGGTCTTTGTGCACTTTATGAGTAAATTTCATTTCGTTCCTTGACATAAATGGACCTGCGCCCCCAGTGATTCCATATACAGCAGATATTTCTATATATAAACAATCAGGCCCTGAAGGTTGCATATTGCCCATATCCCTTAATAATCTCAGGGCTTTAACATAGATTCTAAAAGGATCAGCTTGTACTCCACATTAAGATCATTTTTATTGGACCCAAACTGAAGCACACTTTCCTTAGCTCAGTAAGGGCAGTTAATAAAATACTGAATCAGAATTTAGGGCAGAGAGGATATTTAGATTTGTAGAGTTCATTTAGCCACACACATTTTAAGTGATTTTAGAGTAATTCTGACAGACACGTGTTACAGCGATGGCCTATCTTCTATTATGAGTGAAAAATATCCATGTCGGCGAGTCTATATTCAAACACGAGACAGGAGACTGCAATGAAGGTAATTACATTCTAATGTGACATTTCTGGGTTTCATCCCTTGAGATGAAGTGAAGCCATACATCAATTAGTTTCAATCAGGTTTAACTTAACCCACAGTCTGAGCCTCGGCACAGGCTCTTTACATTTTTCTTCATTTACATCGCCTGGAGGGCAGACATTATTTCACTCCCGGGAGAAGAATGTTATGAAGAAAATGGTCTGTCAGGCACATTAGAAGATATATAGCTCACACAGCCAAGGACCAATTTAAATACAAAGCCTTGATTTCATCTCTAACACACAGCCCCTTTTACTTTCCTCTGATTATTACGATGATCATTTCATTTTGACTTTATAATCTCATAAACTGACATAAAATGCAGCTTGAATTCACATTATATGTTTTGTTCAATAAGGGAAAGACAGTAAAGACTGTGATCCTGCTGACCCATGGATGGGTGATCCAGGTCATTCTCATTAGTGATAAAATAAATCATTAGTAATACTAGCCAATATTAACAATGGAGAAAATCCTTCAGAGCCTGGTCCAAGCACACATGAAGTCCCTGGCTTAATTTGCACAAGAATGGGTCCCTTTATCTCTGCTGTACTAATGCATGAGTAGTAACCGCAATGTAAAATAGAAGCTCCACATAAACTGACAACTTGGATTTTGAAACCAAAAGTGTGTTTCAATGAGCATAAACACATTCAGCAGGAATTCTCCACCACACAGAGATGCACACACATTAAAATCTACAGTTGTGGTGGCAGTGGCAGAAGAAGATAGCTGATATCTGCTTGGGGGTCGTGAAGGCTGACTGAGTAACTGTGGTCTCGCCAGAGATCGTACTATAATCATTCCCTTTGATGTGCTGCCATAAAACATTTGGCAGTGCTTCTTGTAAATGCAGCTGTGAGCTGGAAACAGAGTGTGGCGTGAAGACACTCTAAAAACACTTTTTAATAGTTTACCTGGATTATAGGCAACTACAGGCATCATAATGTATAACACTAAAAGAGACTGCTGGCATTATCTTTACATGACATTTATAGCGTGTGAAATAACAACTTTTAGATATTTTATCGAAATAAGTGAAAGAGATCTTAATGGAAATTGGGATTGACAGTCCACTTGTATATTTTTCTATGCTGAAAGCAAAAGTAATAATAATTTCCTTGTGTTAGAGCAAGCCATTAGTGTGGTTTATCTATTTGAGAAAAGCTGAAAGACAATCATGTAATGGCTAAGCCTATTTCTTTTAGAACAAAGACTAATCACTTCATTTGGATAGAATTGCATTTTGGATGAGGGAGATTCACATAGTAATATCCTTATTTTTTTATGAACAATGCTTTAATTTGTGATTTGGTGATAAACTAATGCGTGAGAAAATGTGTAATTGGTGAATCGAAAATGTTCTATAAACAAGGCAAATTATAGCTGACTGTGCACATGATAGTGTGTGTGTGTATTTCCGTGCAAGCATGGAGTCATCGGCAAGTTTCTGCATGTTTATCCATTCATGTGTGTGCCAGTTTGCATGCATGCATGACTCCATTTAATCTGTTTATTCAGTGCATATGACTCAAGCTAGAGGGGAGGACCACTGGACTATCTGTCACAGCAGATGTCCATAGTGTGATAATAAATGTAGATGCAGAATGTAGGTGGAAATGCATGAATGCAACAGTCTATAGGAAGATACCAAGAATTAAAAGATGAAATATTGCAGAAAATGTCCATGTACGGTCAACTGACTGAGGCTTGCAAGAAAGAAGCACAGAAGGAGATGTGTCGAGATGACAGGTTTATTGATACTTTCACGCATCACCTACAAACACACACCTACACACACAAAGAAACAAAGACACATCATTCATACTGCCTGAGCTGCTTTGTGAGTTAATTTTAGCTAATTATATTCAACAATGCAATGTGGGCGAAGAAAAAAAACACAAAATAGGACACGGGCATCATCATTTTTCACTATTACACACACATGCTAAACTTAATTACCATCTCTTAAGTGAAAGCAGCCTACTTACACAATACATTGAAGAAAGTCCTGAGAGGATTTATGGTTTTTTCAGTGCTGATTACTGACTGTATATTATTCTGGAACAAAGAGAAGTGTCCTTCGGAAAGGACGACAGTAAATTGCTATTAGTGGCCAACCATAGTCGTTTTGGGAAACAGATGCTCAAATGGAATTTCATTGATCCACTGAGCTTAGTGAGACAACAAAGCTTTGAATGAGGACAGTCCAGTAATTAGTCTAGGGCAGGATCTGAGACGCTGTACAAAGGAGAAAAAGATAGTTGACTTTGTGTTGTGAATACTGATGCATTGACAAACGTGACATATATGTGCGTCGTGGGTCAGTCATATTGGAAATGATTCATTAGGCTAATTGTCGTGTAAAATGCAGGAGCCATTCTCTTCTCCTTAAGCAGTAAGAGGTTCACCTTGAGTCTGAGGGAAAATACTTGCACAGTAGAGACTTACAGACGCATACAGCAACATTCACAGCGATAAGGAATGGCTACAGTATTCTAGCGTGTACTTTACTTTTCACTGAATGTCACAGCATCTCCCTCCTGCCATGTTACATTTCCCTGCAACCATTCAGTTTTAGTGTGACAGAAAAAAAAAGAGAGCAAGTGAATGAAACTCGCAGAGGTTTTCATATTTTTCACATTAAACGTCTGACAGCTAGCATGATCCAAAGTGGGACTGATTTGTTTCCCTGATGGCTGAGCAGATAAATGGGATTATTGACTGCAGCTGTTCTCCTGACCTGTTGTTTGAGTGAGATTGGTATTTAGCTGGGTTATTTAGACACAGTGGATCAGACCATGATGCATTCCCTGTTTTCTCTGACCCTGCCTTTCCTGAGAGGAGAGGAGAGGCTTACACCATATGAGTTTGGACAGGTATGGACAGCAAAACACAGACTCATAGAGAGAAGAGAGTGATTTAAAAAAAGAAGTAGGGAGGGACTGACAGCATCCTTTCATTACTCAAAAGTATGGAGCTTGAATAAACCTGGATTCTATCCAATCAGAATCCTCCCTGGAGACCCGACACAAAGAGGTCTTTTTATATAAAGATGAAGTGAATGTAACAGTCTTCTTGTCTGCTGTTTGATGCCATAAATTCTGACTTTGTATTGTCTCAATTCAGCCATGGCACAATGTGTATTTTTTATATTTGTTCACATTTTAGTGCTATGCATTCAGAGAATCATTCCCTTGTGAAGATAATAACAGACATTGTGAGGAAGATAATACAATGACCTAGAACTGAGAGAGTTGATTATTTCATTGTACTGCTCTGAAATCAGCCACCATCAGTGTCTGTTGATGACAGCAGAGAGGATTAAAGGTCCTGTGTGTAACATTTAGAGGGATCTATTGGCAGAAATGGAATATAATATTCTAGGTACTGTGTGTTTGCATTGGTGTATAATCACCTGAACATAAGAAACATTGTGTTTTCGTTACCTTAGAATGAGCTGCCTTTGTGTACAGAGGGGGTGGTTCCTCTTCTTGGGTTTTTCACAAGTTTCATGGCCACCATACATTCTCCTACATGCTTGGAAGGCGAGAAATTTAGTTGGTTGCAATTTGCCACTAACACAAACAAACAAGTTGGCTTCTGAACTATGTGTTCAGAAGCAATAGAGCGAGTTATATTAGATACATACATACATACATACATGTAGATGCTATTTCTGTTTGAAATTATAAATACTTATACTTAGTTATCTTATAAATACCGGTAGTTACAGTTTTCCTGTGTTGTTATTATTTTGATGTGCTCTATTTATTTGTAAAGGTATCAAAGGTACTTGATTTGAAATTATTGCAATAAAAGAAATAAACATTAAGGTATAGTATGAGTGAACATCTACAGAAAAGCAAAAATTCTTAGAAAAATAAAGATAGATCACTCATAGTAAAGCAATCAT